TTAATGCCTAACATTCATCATAATATATGTAGCAAGTGCTCAATAAAAGAATAACATGAAATAAAATTAAGAAATATCTGATTCCATACTGGTAAAAACCAAAGAAAAAACGAAGGTATTTGATGAGACATCTTGAGAAGAAATAATTATGTTGACATAAGTAGTTTGGGAATTCTCAAGGTACTGGACTGTCTTTGCCCTTCTTAGCAAAGATAAGAAACAGAAAGAGAAGGTTTACATTCCAGAGGCCACTAGAGCAAAATGATGAAAGCACACTATCCTGATGAGACAGAGGTCTTATTTAATTTTAAACCTACAAAAACTCAGATTCCTTTGTGTTCATAAATTATAATTCCCTCTTTGGTTTTCCTTGAGAAGAAAGAAAAAACCTTCTAAATACCTACCCATTAACTATGAAGTTTTTATTTCTCTCTGAAGCATGTAATCTTTAACCACAAAGCATATGATGACCACAAAGGTTGTAAAACATGTTTGTGGAAGAAGATTATATTTGTTCTCTTGATTATAATACTGGTTTCACCTTTTTAAAACTCAGTTCCACATTAAGAAATATATTTTACATCACTACCCTGTATTATATGAATAGACTAATAGATAAACTGGTACAGAAATTTCACAAGAAAAGTGCTTATTTTTTTTCTTTTTGGTTAATTAATGTTTGTTGTTTGAAAGATACTGGATCTTACAACAGTTAATGCATGCTAATGTTTTTATTTTATTCCTTTCTATTAAATTTTATAAAATATTGGTCATAATTGACTAACTTGATTTTATGACCCTCTTAATGGGTTACAGCCAGTAGTATGGTGGTAAATTTTTAATGGTTGGCTTTGCCCCTGAATAAAAGCCCCTAATATTAGTGTTTCCTGATTTCCATGGTATAAATACACTTGGCCAATTTGAAGCTACCATCCTGATGTCACTGAATGTTAACTGGGAAGAAATGACACAGTCGGCTTTCTCTAGAGCCATTAGGAGCCAGCTTCATGACACCACTGGCTATAACACATAGTGTAAAATAAATATGAATTTATGTTTGTTACAAGTAAGTTAATTTGCTCATTTGAACTGCAAATCACCTAATTTGTTAAGTGTCCCAAACAATGTCTGATATATAGCAGATATTAAATTTGTATTTGTTAGAAGAATGAGTTGCTTTATTTTGACAGATATAAAAGAGTATTTGTATCTCCCCAAGTTTGTTTCTTTTTCAGTCCAATTTTTCACATAAGGACTGTAATTTCATACCTGATTATCACAGGGATTTTTTCTATTCATAAACTCAAAATTGAAGAGAAAATACTTTGCTTTATTTATATATCATGATGCCTACTACATCACGTATTCATCACTTAAATTGTTTTCTAAGAGTTTTAGCTTAAAACCTATAAAAATAAAAACAAATTATTATTTAAAAACTATAGTTACATTTCAGACAATTCCTTGAAGAAAAGAAAGCTTAAAAAAATAAGTTAGAAATGATTGATTATATTTCATATTCTTTTCAAGGAACTTTCTTTAGTCTTTCTATAAATCATTAATATTTGATCCAGAATTTGGATATTGGGGCATAGAATTTTTTTTAGCAACTCCTTTGAATTCAAAACCAATGTGCAATTAAAATAAAGACTCTGAAATTATGAAAACAGAAGAGCTGATTCAGTAACAACTTTGGGCATTGAGAATATCAGTAAACATTTATTCAACATAGAGTATGCTAAGATCTAGAAGATACTCCAGGAACTGTGTATACACTAACTGCCCACTCTGCTAGATACCAGGGATTTCTAGATAAAAGGCTTTAAAGAAATGTATAACTCAATGGGAAGACAGATAACAAAAGACAGCTGTAATACAGTGTGATAGGTACTATGTTAGAGTTATAAGTTACATTGGAAGCATAGAGATGGTGACATTTAAATGTTCAGGGGAGGGGCGCCTGGGTGGCTTAGTCAGTTAAGCGTCTGACTTTGGCTCAAGTCATGGTCTTATGGTTTGTGCTTTTGATCCTTTCTCTCTCTCTCTCTGCCCTTCCCCTGCACTAGCTCTCCCTCTCTCAAAAAATAAACAAACATTTAAAAGAATTCTTCTCTCTCATTGTCTCTCTCTTTATGCCTGTATTTCTAAAAAAAAATAAAAAATAAAATAAATGCCCAGAGGAGTCTAAGAACACCACCTAGAAGAGGACATGCTTTGACTGCTTAGAGTTTTATTTCTGTCTCTGCAATAATATAGCCTTGGATAAATCAGTGAGCCTGATTTTGGAGGTCTCTCCTGGCTCTGATAATGATTCTGTGACTTGAATGTAACTTTCTAAAATATGCCTTTTGTTTTCAATGGAACCTCACCTATATTTATCATGACATTTAGTTTTAGTTTCAGTATCCTTTTTTTCTAAATTATGCCGGATTTGCATGAACAGTTACTCTGCTTTCCTGCTTTGATTCTTCACTTGAATGATAATATGGAGTTTTTGAAAATCAGTGTAATAATGGCTGTAAGTGCTGTCTTTCCCCAAGTTTGGTTTCTAAGAAATAAAGTTATCTAATAATAATTTACAGTAAGTGCATAGTTATGTTTTCATGTACTTAATTATCAATATTAACAGTTTATTAGCTTATTCAGTTATTCAGTAAGAAACCATCAGAAGCTATCTCAGCTGGAATAAGGTATTGCTCTTGTAATCTGACAAAAGATAAGGAGACTCTATTGTCAGCCTTGTAGATTCAGCTGTTTATAAGCTTTTGTTACAATATCACATTACTTCTCACTATTTCAGATGGGTTTATGTCTCAGAACAATTCTTGCCAATTAATATGGGAAAACTATAGAGATTTCTAGATGTAGTTGGCAGTCTTTACACAATTACCTCACATAGACAGCTGTATCTAATCTTCAGTCAGTTATACGTTTTCTAGAGTATTGGCTCTGATTTATCCTTTGCTATAGGGCATCTTCTTGTTGTCTAGAAGTAGTTAAATATGGAGTTTTAATACATTTTGCCCCTTTCTTTCTTTAGTTTGCACATCATTATTTCTCATGACTCATAAAGTTGTTTCTGAAGCTCATGGAGATTATATTTATTCAGCATAAAAAAAAGTTCTCCTTGTGCTCATGGTAAATAAAAGAAGTCAAGAATGTGATTAAATCTAAAATAGAAAATTAATATTCTACTTGAAAGAGTAAAGAGAAATAGTTTATGTTTCAAATATTAAGTAATATGAAATCAAAACTAATAGAAATTGTTATCAGAAAGTTGACTATCAAACTAATATAAAACAGGCTTTAAAAACTAGTTTACATTTTGCTAGTTTTATATACAAATTTGGATTTGTATACCATACAGCACATGATCTTGAAAAATATTTTGCTATAAATAAGTATTCTCACATTTCTTTTTCCCTTGGTAAATAAATTATAAGCAAGTTGTCTAAATTTGTTTCATCTTTGGTCTGGAACAATGAGCGAAATTCTCATTGGAATGAAGTCACAACATGATTCATAATGTTAGTGTAAAGACTGTCTCATTGACTTAATGTTTCAGATGTTCCATATGTATCTCAGTGTAAACTCCTTTTTCAAAATTGATAAAAGACTGGGAAAGAGTCCAACAAGAACAGCCGAGGAAACTTGTCAGTCACGGTAAGAAGCGGTATTGGGGAGCTACTATCGCAGTTTTGCCAGACCAATGGAGCATTTTCTCTCAGCACCTAGACTCTGTCATTCTTATTGTCATACACAAAAATACCAGGACAGTTATGTAGCAGGAGTCATTAAGAAACAACATCTTACCACAGATATGACTATCAAGGTAATAGATACATTTTAAACTAGCTGTTTATTTTCTGTTGTATGTACACTATAATTTACGTATTCCCTTGAGATTACATTCCTAGCTGCACCCTTAACGAAAGGATAAATGACATATGAGTACGTTGCTTATATAATGGAACTAGAAGTAGAGATGAGATGCATGCAGAAAGAAGGATGTTATAAATAGGGCTACACTTGGCATGGTCTAGAGAGAAATGAGAAATAATTAATGACTCTTTTATCATTGACTAACTAACTGTGCTTTGGAATAGCCTGTGTAGAAAAAGCCCATACGTGGAATATGTATTTTACTGACTTAAACTGAAGGTATGTTCTAGTGAAGGCAGAAGAAGACCAGTAGGGGCTCAATACATATTTATGGAATATATGAATTAATTAACATGAACATATGATTGTGCTATGATTTTCTTTAAATGTCTTGGATTCTAGGATCTTTCTCTAGTATCTCCTTTACAACTTGAATCATTTTTGGTAGCCACACATAAATTCTATCTTTTTAAGTTACCAAATTTTTATACTCATACGTATTCTAATCATTTCAAGAGAATAGAGCAATTTTTAAGATTTACCTACTTTTTTTTTTTTTTACGTATTTATTTTTAGAGAGAGAGAGTGCAAATGGGGAGGGAGCAGAAAGAGAGGGAGAGAGAGAATCCCAAGCAGGCCCGGTGCTGCCAGCAGGGAGCCTGATGCAGGGCTTGATCCCACAAACCATGAGATCGTGACCTAAGCCAAAATGAAGAGTCAGACGCTTAAAGAGCTGAGCCATGCAGGCACCCCAGAGTTTACCTACTTTCAAATTATCTAGCTATTTCTTTTCTAGTTGTACTGTTTTGACTTTATTCTTCAACTTACTATATTTGCTATTGTTGACGAGTATAGGTCTGATTTACATAGTCATTTATTTATATTTATTGTTTTAGTTTTAATATACTCAACAACTGGTAATATATAAATCCTTCAGAAATCTGGGCAGTTTAGTGATCTGGGGGAGATTAAAAAAAGGGCTGCATGGGCAAGGAGGGGAGGGACCCCCTCCTGCGGAAAGACAAAGGGAAGAGAAAGAGTGGCTAAGGAAGTGCAGGACCATATCTGGACAGGAGAAAGACCTCGGACTGGGACTGAGACTGAGAGGAATCCGATCTCTAACTTTCTTGGGACTGGGGCCAGCTCCCTGTTCGTGCACCTGGGGAGGAGGGGAGCCAGGCCTGGGTGTGGTGGTAGGTCAGAGTCTCAGTCCGCAGCTGGAGGAAGTGGTACCCTCCATGGAGGGCTGCATGCTGGTTACTCCGGTCATTGGTCTGTCTAAACAGACATATTTAATCCATTATCTTGATACATTTTCTACACCTCCTTCTTTACACTCCTCTCTCTCTCTCTGAAATAATCAAGCCATATAGTTTCTCTGTCTGGGTAACTTTATCTTTGTTTCATTTTCCCCACCTCCTTTATTTTCCTTTCTCTCTCTCTGGATTAAGCCTTTTAGTCTACCTGCCTAATCAATGTTTATTTTTTCTTCTCCCCCCGCCCCCACCCCCACTCCTGTCATTTCTCTCTTTGTATGTGCTCTTCCATCAGCACCACCTCCACCCTCTTCTTTACTTGTAGTCAGTGTTTTTAGGTTTTTTGTTTTTAGTCTTTAGATTTTTGTTTTTGTTTGTGTGTTTGTGTGTTTTTGTCTCCTCTTTGTCTGTTTTCCTTTACAGGGCTACTCCAAGGAACAAATCAAAGCACATCTGGTGGAGGGTCCAAAATATTACTACGAGTAGGGTAATAAAATAACCAAAGTCACAACAGAGAGCAAGTAACAGTCCCGGAAAAAAACACTTCCTGAAGGGCCAGGCCCTGGACAGTGTATGACCCTCCTTTAATAAAGCAGTGCTCACAGGTGCAGAGCATACAATAAGCTTTTAAAATCCATTAGGGACAGAAAACTAGCCAAATTGATGAAACGGAAGATTTCTTCTCAAAAGAAATTCCGGGAAGTAGCAACAGCTAACGACTTGATCCAAACCAATTTAAGCAATATAACACAACAAGAATTTAGAAAAATAGTTATAAAATTAATCGCTGGGCTTCAAAAAAGCATAGAGGACAGCAGAGAATCTATTGCTACAGAGATCAAAGGACTAAAAAATAGTCATGATGAATTAAAAATGCTATAAATGAGGTGGAAAATAAAATGGAGGTGGCTACAGCACAGATTGAAGAGGCAGAAGAGAGAATATGTGAATTAGAAGATAAAATTATGGAAAAAGAGGAAGCTGAGAAAAAGATTAAAAAATCCAGGAGTGTGAGGGAAGAATTAAATAAGTGTTGCAATCAGACGGAACAATATCTGTATTATAGGAATTCCAGAAGAAGAAGAGAGAGAGAAGGACTGAAGGTGTACTTGAACTTCCCTGATCTGGGGAAGGAAACATGCATTGAAATCCAAGAGGCACAGAGACCTCCCTTCAGACATAACTTGAATCAATCTTCTGCACAACGTATCATAGCAAAACTGGCAAAATATAAGGATAAAGAGAGAATTCTGAAAGCAGCTAGGGATAAGCGGGCCTTAACATACAAAGGTAGACACATAAGGGTAGTAGCAGACCTATCTACTGAACTTGACAGGCCAGAAAGGAATGGCAGGAAATCTTCAATGTGAGGAACAGAAAAAATATGCAGCCAAGAATCCTTTACCCAGCAGGTCTGTCATTCAGAATAGAAGGAGAGATAAAGGTTTTCCCAAACAAACAAAAACTGAAGGAATTCATCACCACTAAATGAGCCCTACAAGAGATCCTAAAGAAGATTCTGTGAGTGAAATGTTGCAAGGACCACAAAGTACCAGAGATACCACTACAAGCATGAAACCTACAGATATCACAATGACTCTAAACTCATATCTTTCAATAATAACACTGAATGTAAATGGACTAAATGCTCCAACAAAAAGACATAGGGTATCAGAATGGGTTAAAAAAAAACAACCCATCTATCTGCTGTCTATAAGAGACTCATTTTAGACCTGAGGACACCTTCAGATTAAAAGTGAGGGGATGGAGAACTATCTATCATGCTACTGGAAGTCAAAAGAAGCTGGAGTAGCCATACTTACATCTGACAAACTAGGCTTGAAATTAAAGGTTGTAACAATAGATGAAGAAGGGCATTATATAATAATCACAGGGTCTATCCACCAGGAAGAGCTAACAATTATAAATGTCTATGCACCAAATACAGGAGCCCCCAAATATATAAAACAATTGCTCACAAACATAAGCAACCTTATTGATAAGAATGTGATAATTGCAGGAGACTTTAATACTCCACTTACAGTAATGAATAGATCATCTAGACAGAGAATAAATAAAGAAACAAGGGTCCTGAGTGATATGTGGGATCAGAAGGACTTGACAGATATATTTAGAACTCTGCATCCCAAAGCGTCAGAATATACTTTCTTCTCAAGTGCACATGGAACATTCTTCAAGATAGATCACATACTGGGTCACAAAATAGCCCTTCATAAGTATAAAAGAATTGCAATCATACCGTGCACACTTTCAGACCACAATGCTATGAAACTTGAAATCAACCACAGGAAAGTCTGGAAAACCTCCAAAAGCATGGAGGTTAAAGAACACCCTACTAAAGAAAGAATGGGTCAACCAGGCAATTAGAGAAGAAATATATGGAAATATATTTGGAAAAATATATGGAAACAAATG